CACTTAACACTCACAAGGGTGACTACTATACTTAAAAAAAAAAATCTAAAAATAAGAAGTGTTGTCAAGAATATGTAGAAATTGTTTTTAAAAAGATATGTAGAAATGAGAATGCTCATGTATTGCTGGTGGTAATGTAAAATGGTGTTGCCACTGAGGAAAACAGTTTGGCAGTTCCTCAAAAAGTTAGGGCCAGGGATTTAGCTCAGTGGTTCTGCAACCTGCCTTGCAAGTGCAAGGTCCCGAGTTCGATCTCCAGTAACAAAAACAAACAAAAAAGAGTTAAACATAGAGTTACCATATAACCCATCAATATTGCTCCTAACTATATACCCAAAAGAATTGAAAATTTATGCCCCACAAAAACTTGTACACAAATTTACAGCAGTATTATTATAGCCAAAATGGAAACAATTAAAATGTCTACCAACTAATGAGTGGATAGTGTGTAAAACAGTGAAGCCAGGCATGATGTTGTATAACTGTGATCTCAGCTACTTAGGAGGCTGAGACAAGAAGATCACAAGTCTGAGGGCAGCCTGGATAACTTAGTGATTCACTGGTTCAAAATTATAAAATAAATAAATCCTGGGCTTGACAGCACACACCTATAATCCCAGAACTCTGGGGGCCTGAGGCAGGAGACTCAAAAAATCAAGCCCAATCTTGGCAATTTAGTGACTTAGCAAGATATTGTCTTAAAAATTTGAAAAAAGGGCCAGGGATTTGGCTCAGTGGTTCCGCCCGCCTGCCTTGCAAGCAGAAGGACCCGAGTTCGATCCCGGTACCAAAAATAAATAAATAAATAAATAAATAAATAAATAAATAAATAAATAAAAGTAAGGGCTGTATGTACAGCTTAGTGAGAAGGCCCTGGTCTCGACCCCAGCACCAAAAAAAGCAAATAAATAGGACTGGGGATGTAGCTCACATTACCTGGATTTAACTCCCAGTATCCCCCCAGTAATGGGTACATTCTACCACCTTGAAAACATGCTAAGTGAAAAAGATCCAATACAAAAGGCCACTTATTACATGAACTATGAACTATCTGGAGACAAAAAGTAGATTAGTGTTTTCTAAGGGTTGAGGGGAGGACAGAGGAGGGAGTGACTGCTAATGGTTTTAGTTTTCTTTTTTGAGAATGTGATAGTAATGATGGTTGCACCTTGTGAATGCACTAAACACCACTAAAATCTAAACTTTAAAATGGAGCATTTTACATTCTGAGAATTATATCTTAATAAAAAAGCAAAAGAGCAAGGCTGCCAATGGAGTAGAAGCAGTGGGCAGAAATTCCATTTATTTATTTAGGCTTTTTTGAGACAAGGCCTTAATGTATAACCCAGGCTGACCTTGAACTTGGAGTCCTCCTCCTCAGCCTCCTGAGTGCCTTTTGTACAGTGTCCACTAGCGAGGCTCCTGGCACAGCACAGTCTCAGGAATGCACTAGCACATTCAAAAAGTTTAGTTTCACCAGGCACAGTGGCCTATGCTAGTAATCCTAGCACTTTGGGAAGCTGAGGTAGGGGGATCTCGAGAGTTGGAGCCCAATCTGGGCAACTTAGCAACTTAACAAGACACTGTCTCAAAATTTTATAAAAGGGCTGGTGATGTAGCTCCGTGTGAAGGCCCTGGTTTCAATTACTAGTATGAGAAGGAGAAGAAGGAGAGGGAGAAGGGGGGGGGGTGAAGAGAAGAGGGAGCAAGAAGTTGTCCAACCTTGATCAGACATGTTCTTTGTGCCTGGCTCTCAACTCCAGATGTGTGAGCCAAGTCCCTTTCCTCAGGTGCAGGGCATGTAAACATCTCAGTCCCTGATGGCTCTGCCTTCTTCTCCTACCCTGAGTAAAGATCTTGAGCTCATTGTCTCTCAAGGGACAAGACAGTAACAGGGGAGTACTGTATTGTGGCATTTAAGGGAAGGGTAAGAAGGAAAGAGAACTAGTAACTATGAGGCACTTGCTTACTCTGTGCCAGACACACAAGAGTGCACATGTATAGGATTTAACTTCCTCTTCACAATATCTTTGAGCTGGGGAGGGGATGTGTCCAAAGTACTTAGAGTTAATGATTTGTGTAACTGGGATTTGAACCCAGGATCACCAGATTTAAGTCTGTGGTCTCAAGAAGCTGGCTCTTTGCCAAGAAGTTTTCACCAGATGTTTTCACTCCCTAAATTCCTAAATTGCCCAGGCTGGCAGGCTGGTCTTGAATTTCTGATCCTTCCGCCTCCTAGAATTCTGGGATTACAGCCTTGCACCATCACACCTGGCTTTTATTTATTTTTTAATTTTGAGACAACAAATCACTAAATTGCCCGGGCTGGTCTTGTGATCTGGCTGGCAAGTGGTTTTTATAAGAAATTAGTGACTTAAGTTTTGGTGCAATGAGGGCAAATGTATTGCCAATTCTCAATTCCTCCTTTACTCCATCCTGGAGGCAGGAACATATGGGAGAATGAGCAGCCCCTGAGAAAGAGCTGAAGGGGAAGTGGTATTCTGGGGTGTGACTTCTCAGCCACAGCAGGAAGTGGAGGGAGGGGTTGCTGAACAGAGGTTTGGAGGAGTTTATTCACTATGGAACTTGTCTGAGAGGGCTCAGTCTTAAGGCCTCCAAGAAAGGAGTAATAGATGCCTGAGTGGGAGAGTTTGGGAATGAGAATGGAGATAATCAGAGTGATCAAAAATGACAGGGCTGAGAGATTTGAGAGAGTAAGACTGTGGTCCCAACTGGAATCATGGGTAAATGCTGCACATTTCATGCTCTGGTTTTGTTTCGTTTTTGGGTACCAGGGATTGAACTCGGGTCTTTGCGCTTGCAAGGCAGGTGGCAGAACCACTGAGCTAGATCCCTGGCCCTTGTGCTCTGGTTTTTGAGGCTACTGGTAACACTATTTTTAATCCAGAGAACAATCTATGGCCTCTGCTAGGGGTACCAAACAGAATAAAGAGAAAATTTTGTTAAGATGTGGCACTGGTAAAGTCAGCCCAAGCTATTTGAGCCCCCAGTACTGTTTATATTGTGAGATGAATTTAGTCTTGGGTGGGAAAAAAGGGAAGTGGCTACTAGGTAAAACTCAAAACTTGAGATCTACTTGGTTTTCTTTTCCTGTTAGCTGTACATCAGTGTGTTCATTTAGTGAATATATTCTCCCTTTCCAACTTTCTGTCCCTTATTACTATTTCCAGTTAATATCTGGTTTAACAAAGAGGTCACATAAAGGAGTACAAAGAACTGACTATGGTATCAGTAGACTAGAATTTAGCAACGAGATTATAAGTCCCAAGTCCATAGCCAGTCAGGGATGGAATTGGCCAGCACTCAAATGCAGGATTTAGAACTCAGATGTTTCCAGTTTCCTGGCAACATTATATAATATATAGCCTGACCTAGAGCGTCCCTGAGTTTCTGATTGCTCTTGTGTACAAATACCTTCCTTAATAATATCTATCTTATGGGGGTTGTGAAGATTCAACGGCAAGTGGAGCCTCTAATACAGCATTTAGACATGGTGTGACCTTAACATTTTTTTATTTTTTTAGCATTACAGACAAAAATTGCCTGGCTTTATGGCTGCACATGGCAGGTTCTTAAATGAATATCTCACTCTATATGGAATGGGCTAAATTGTATCCCCTGGCAATTCATTTGATGGAAGTTCTAACCTCTATCCCCCACCTAGTACCTCAGATGACTGTACTGTATTTGGAAATAGAGTTGCCCAGAATTAACTCTTTGAAGGGTATTAGGTTAAAATGAGGTGGGGTTTTTTTTGATGCAGCCTAATCCAATATGATGGGTGTCTTTGTGAAAAAGGAGACATCAGACAGGCAGTACAGAGAAGACAGTACAGTGAAGACACAGAGAGAAGATAGCCATCTACAAGTGAAGGAGAGAAACCGCAGAAGAAACCAACCCTGCCAACAGCTTGATCTTAGCCTTCCAGCCTCCAAAACATTAAGGAAATTAATTTCTGTTGTTTAAGCCATGCATTCTGTAGTGCTTTGCTACGTCAGCCCTAGTAAACTAATACAACACACACATTGTACCTTTCACCTGCTGGGCCAAGGTTCCGTCGCTCTGTTGATCACAAACTGTTTTTTGGCCTGTTTTCTATATTCTTCAACTGAAAGTCCTGACCGAAAGCCTTAAGGATGCTCTGCCTGCTGGGCTGACCTTGGAGAGGGGCTGCTCCCTTGGCTCTTGGCTGCTAGGGTGACCATGACTTACTGACCAGAGTGCTTCTGATGGAACTGGGGAGAGGATGTGCCTTCCCTGCACGTGTGTGTGTGTGTGTTTGTGTCTGTGTGTGTAAGGGGGGTGGTGAGTGGTGTTGGATGAAGGAATGAAAGAGGAGTGCTAGGTGTGAGGGGGCCTCAGTGCTCTGTCCTACGAAGAGACAGGAGAAAGGGAGAAAGAAGCAATCTGGTGTGGGAGGAGGGAGGAGAGGTGCTGATGTAAACCTCAGGGCATTCTCCAAGGACAAAAGTGGAGAACCTCCCGTCGGACCCTAGATCTTCTGAGGGTCGCTGAGCACCAAAGTGGGTTATCTCGGAGCCCCCAAACCCTTTGCCCGGATGGCCGCCTTCTGCCGACCGGACCGAGAGGGCCGGCGGGCGCGTTCCCGACACGTCCTCTGGCACGGCCCCTCCAGGCGCGCGCCCGGCTCCACCGCACCCCGCCCCCTGCTCCGGCCAGGCTCTGAGGACCCCGCGCGCGGAGCCGCGCACGCCCCTCCGCCAGCCGGGACCCCGGGCCGCGCGCGCCCGGCGCCCCCTCCCCGCCCGGCAGGCGCGCGCCGCTCCCGCTCCAGCTCCCGCTCCCACTCCCGCTGGCAGCCGTGGCGGCAGCGGCGGCGGCGATTGTTTTTGTTGTCGCTGAGGCCGGAAGAGCCGCGGGAGCCGGTCCCTGTCCCCGGGCCGGGCGCCGCCGCCGCCCACTGCGCAGCGCCCGCGTCTCCGCGGCGCCCCTCCAGCGCCAATATTCCGGAGATCAAGCGTTACGCGGCGGCGGCGGCGGCGGGGCCCGGAGCGGGAGGCACCGGGGACCGGGGCGAGGCGGCCCCCGCCGCCGCCATGGAGGCGCTGGGACCCGGTGAGGAACGCGCTCGGCCCGGGGTTGGACCTGGGGCCCGGGACGGCGGGCGGGCGGGCGGGACCGTAGCTGCAGCGCCGTCCTCGCCCGCCCCCGCGTTCCCAGGCTCGGGCCGCCAGGCCTCGGAGAAGAGGACGGACCCCTGCCTTTCTGCCCTGGGCGGACGGAGCTGACCTGGGCCTCGGGGGGCGGGGACCGCGCCCCAGCCTGAAGACTTGGGCCGGATCTTTGAGGTCGGAGGGAGGGAGGGAGGGAGGCCCAGGAAGATGACCTGTTTCCCTGGGTACAGGGGGAACTGACACACCCAGGAGAGATCTGTGCCCCCAGGGTCGCTGCGAGGCTAGTTCGGCCTCAGAAGAGATGATCTGTGCCTGCCTGGTAAACTCGGAGGCCTGGCCCAGACCAGGAAGGGTTCTTCACCTACTACCAGGGGTATTCTTGAAGTTGGGTCGCACCCCTATTTTTCTTTGCGCTGACAGACGGTCCAGAGCCCTCAGATGAGGAAGGAGAACTTCCCCACTATGTCTGTCAGGTCTCATGAAGGCCAAAGTCAGAATATCCACCCTTTCTCAAAAGCCCTAAGTGTCTATGCTGACCCTTCAGCGACTGGGGAATTACCTGCCTGTCAGCTCCTACACAGGCATCAGTGCCCAGAGTTCTCTTCTAATTGGATTATGAGTGGTTTAAAAATCAAATAAAGGAGAAAGTGCTTTGGAAACTAATTCGGGTGGGCGTGGATGCCCTCTAGTTATCACCTTCCCTATGCCCAAACCAAAGGAAGGATTCCAATCTGTCAGAATGCCCTGTACTTGGAGCCTGGTGCTCCCACCTCAAATCCTGGCAGGTTTCTAATGCTTTGGCTAAGTAGGGGAGGGTTTACTGGCCGTGGCGGAATTAACTTTTTTAATATTCAAACCTTATCTACATAGAGGACAGCTGTAGAGTATTTCATTTTTTGATGCATAGAAAGTTAGGTTTACCCTTTGAGTTTGGAAACTTTTCAGGTTTGTTTACTTAGAACTTGTTTGCATAGCTGTATGATTAACAACTTGTTCAGAGTTTGAGTTGTTTTTTGTTTTTGTTTTTGTTTTTTGAGACAAGGTCTTGCTATTTAGTTCAGGCTGGCCTTGAAATCACTGTATAGTCCATACTGGCCTTGAACTCGTGATGATCCTGCACCACTACACCCAGCGAGTTTAAATTTCTTAAAGGTTCTCATAATCAAATTTTATATCCCTTTAAAAAATAAATTGGCTTGTCACATCAGTATTATTTGATGAACTTGACTGTATTATGTTATTTCAGATATGTCCCCCAGCGAAAGGATGATCAGGACTTTAGGAATGTAACAGGCCTCTATTTGAATCCAGTCTAGTAATTTAATAGGGCAAATTACTTAATTCCTTTGAACTTCCATTTCCTCATCTATATAAGAGGATAATAATAATTATGTGCTGCAATATTGTCATGAGAATGAAATGAGATAATGTATGTGAGAAGTCTTATTTGTAGACCAATGCATTAGAGATACTCAACAAATGTGTCTTCCCTCTCTTCTGTGACTAACTCATGATTAAAGCAACTGTTGCTTTTATGAGCTGATATGGAAAGAAAACCATGTAACAGTGTGCAGAAGCAGTTTCCTGGAAAGGATCAGCTTGGCAATGCTAGAAATTGCCTAGGGACTCCTGTCTCCCATTCCCAACCTGCCCTTTGGTTTCATTAAAGCTTTTGCATGTTTGAGGACTTATCTGTTCAGCCAGAATTGTTGAGATTGTGGAAAACTAACTCTCACTAACCACATGCATAAGACACTGATTAAGCCAAAATATCATGTAGAGCTCTGTTGAGTGTTCTTTCTGCTAACAAACTTTTTTTTTTTAATGTTGCAGTAGCTTGGAAACCCAATTAATAACAAGAAGCTGCTTGTTGAACATGGAATCAGAATAACGGGAGTTGATAATCTTCTGGGATGTTTCCTCCAGGCAGTTCTAGAACCTAGAGAAGCATTCCTATTAGAGCACACCCAGAACGCTTCAACAGTTTCTGATTATCAGTCCCTCTTAGTCTTACTTTGACCCCTTCTATCACCTAGTTTTAGTTTCTGACAGTAGCTCTGAAATACAATTAGATTACCACTTACTTTGGTTAAGTTGATTGCAACTTATTTTTGCAGGGTTTTTTTTTTCGGTACTGGGAATTGAACTCAGGACCTTGCACTTGCAAGGCAGGCACAGTGCCACTGAGCTAAATCCCTGACCCCTATTTTTGCAGTTTTTTTATAATTTGGAAAGTACTTTCATAACTCTTAGCTCATGAGATCCTCTGGGGGAGCAGGCAAGGAAGGTATTTATCCCCATTTTATAGATGAGAAAAGTGAAGTTCAGAGAATGTAAATGACTTCATTGAGGTCTCAAAGCTGAGTGATGAAATGAGGATCAGAGAATAGGACATCTGACTCCTAATGCCTCCTTCCTTGTATAAGGCTGACTTCATCTATTCTGGGTTAGGTTATATGTGTTTCCTTTTTGGAGAATGTAATTTTCTGACATCCGTTTTTGGGAATGCCACCAATAAAATACTCAGGCAGCTTTCAGCACTAACTTTTATGTGAGTATGATCATAATTGAATATTAATTTAGTACTTACTATTGGGAGATACTCTGTTAAGCCTTTTATATACACAATCTCATGGAGTTGTCATTATAGCCATATGGAGTAGATGCTATTGTCATACACCCCTGTGTTACAGAGGAGGAAACTGAGGCACAGAGAAACCAAAAAACTAACTCAAGTTCATACGGGTAGGAAGTTGTAAAATGAAGGGTGAAATCTAGGTAATTTAGTTCCAGAGCCTTAGCTGCTGTGCTTTCTTGGTTCATTAAGTAGACACTTTGCTATGTTTGAAGAAATCAGCTTTGGGATGAAAAATTTAAAATATAATTTCTAAGTAAATGTGCTAGTATTATTAAAAGAAATGATCACTGGGCCGGGGATTTAGCTCAGTGGTTATGCCGTCAGCAGTGCAAGGACCCGAGTTCGATCCCCAGTACCAAAAAAAAAAAAAAGAAATGATCACCCATCTAATTTTTCTTTTATCAAGGAAGAGATACATATAATACTTTATTCTACTTTTTTTCTTTTTTTTTTTTTCCTTTTTGGTACTTTGGATTGAACCTAAGGCCTCTTAAATGGTAGGCATACACTCTACCACTGAGCTACATAGTCTGGCCCTCTACTTCTTAGTCCATTTTTTTAGTACTGGGGATTGAACCCAGACTCTTCACATTGAGCTACACCCCAAGCCCAGTCTATGTGTCTATTTTATTTTGAGACAGGGTCTTTCTAAATTTCTTAAGTTCCCCGGGCTAGGCTCAAACTTGCAGTCCTCCTGCCTTACCCTCCCAGAGTGCTCCTGCCTCCTACCTCACCCTCCCAGGCAAGTTCCACCACACCCAGCTCTTAATCCTTTCAATTCCTCTTCAGAGAAGCATAGACACCATAGGATTGTGAAGTATATTAACAAGAGAATGCGCGGGACTGGGAATTAGGAGACCTGGATGCTAGGTACTATGTAAAATCGAATTCATAGGCAAATCATTTGATTCAAGTTTCTGTTTCCAAATTTCTATTATACTGTATTTATTTTGGGCAGTACTAGGGATTGAGCCCAGGGCCTCATGCATGTTAAGCAAGCGCTCTACCACTGAGCTACATCCTCAGCCCTTCAAATTTCTATTATAAAGCTGTGTTTCTTCTAAATGTATATTATAATGATTGCTTAAATGCATCTTGGGTGATGTGGGGCTAACTTACCTTATGATTCTTTTTCCATTTTTTTTTTTTTTTCCCGTACTGAGGATCGAACTCAGGACCTTGCACTTTCGAGGCAGGAGGTGGAACCGGTGAGCTAAATCCCCGGCCCTCCATTTTTTCTTTAAAAAAATTTTTTTAAATTTTTATTAGTACATCTGTGAAGTACACAATGGTTTACCTATGTGATTTAACTGGGTTGATTCCGTATACCTATTAGCTCTGTCATTATTTACTGTTTGTAGTTGTCTTGTCACACCCACAATAGATCTCCTTGCATATCGGGAATGGAACAACTCTAAGCAGTCATACTTTTAGTATAAGTTAGATGCTTTCACTTTATTGAAAAAGTAATTGTCAGTTCTTGCATATTAGGTATCAAGTTTCTGAGAGGTTTTTTTGTTTTGTTTTTGTTCTTGTTTTTGAGACAGGGTCTCACTGTGTATAGTTCAGTCTGGCCTCAAATTTACAGTGATCCTCCTGCCTTAGCCTCCCAAGTGCTGGGATTATGGGTGTGTGCCATCACACCCAGATTCTGTGTATTCATTTTATCTGAAATTACTGATACCGGGTCAGCTTGACATTTAATTACAACATACCGGATGTTGAATTAGATGTTGAGGAAATCATGAATGGGAGTTTCTTCTGAGAATTGGTAGTTTAGTGGAAGAGACAGGTTAATTTTCTTATTCTTTTTTTTTTTTTTTTGGTACTGGGGATCGAACTGGGGTCCTTGTGCTTTCGAGGCAGGCAGCAGAACCACTGAGCTAAATCCCTGGCCCAATTTTCTTATTCTTGTGGTAAGTGCTACCCTGTACAGAGAGGGTATGGGAATACAGATGGACCCTTCAGTCTGGAACAATCAGAAAGGCTGAGGGTTTTTTTAAAGACAAGTAGAATTTAGAAGAATGAAAAAAAGAAGAATGAAGGATGAATTCAATATGTGAAAGGATTTTCAATACTTTATTTGTATATAGTGATATGATTTGTCAACACAAATTTCATTAAAATATTTGCTTTCATTTTCTAATTGATGTTGGACCAGAGCAGCTTATTGTTTTAAAGCTTTCTTTTCTTAGTAAATTTGTCTTTGTTCTCAGTGAAATGGCATTGCAGTCAGAGAACTTGTAACTTTCCATTGTAACCGCAGCCCACTTTGCTCAACACCTATTCATAGCAGAAACTGTTTATGTTTTAGGCTTGTGTCCACTTGATACTCTCATCAGAGGTGGCAAAGGTTTCTCTAGACAACTATCTTCCAGAATGTTCAGTTTTGAGAGAGAAAGCCAGACAGATAAACACTTCTATGGAAAAATAAGTTGAGTAAATGATGAATTCAAGTAAAACAGGTTTGCCAGGTATAGTGGTGCATGCCCATACTGTAGTCTTGGAAGGCCAAGGCAGGAGACTTGCAAGTTCAAATCCAACCAGCCTGGGAAATTTAGCAAGACCTTGTCTCTTAAAAAATAAAAAGGGCTGGGATGTCACTCAGTTGTGGAGCATCCGTGAATTTGATCTCCAGGACCAGAAAGAAGTTAGCTGGATATGGTGGCACACACTTATAATCCCAGCACTCAGGAGGCTGAGGCTGGAGGATTGCTGTGAGTTCAAGGGCAGCCTGAACTACAAAGGACTCTGTCTCAAAAAACAAAAACAAAGCAAGAAAGAAGAAAAAGTTAAACGGGTTTATTTATTGCATGACTTTTTACAGAATTTAAACTGGAATTTGGGCAGGGGATTTAGCTCAGTGGTTCCGCCGCCTGCCTCAAAAGCACAAGGTCCTGAGTTCGATCCCCGGTACCAAAAAAAAAAAAAAAGGGAAAGAATATTTTCTTTAATTTAATTTATTTATTTCTTTTTGTGGAATATCTTGTGAATCATCACTGGAATAATTTGGAAAGACTACTCTGCCTAGACCAGGATTTCTCAACCTGGCCACTATTGATAATTCTATTTTTTTTGGTACTGGGGATCGAACTCGGGTCCTTGCGCTTGCACAGCAGGTGGTAAAGCCACTGAGCTAAATCTCCGGCCCCACTATTGATAATTTGAACTGGATACTCCTACTCAAATAGATACTAGTAGAATCATCAAATAGTGACCAAAAAAAAGTCTGTAAAGGTTTGTCAAATGTTGAAGTTAAGAAGCACTAGTCTCGCTGGGTGTGGTGGCACATGGCTGGAATCTCAGCACTTGGGAGGCTGAGGCAAGAAGATTGCCACATTTGAGGCCAGCCTGGGCTGCATAGTGAGTACAAAGCCAGTCTGAACTATGTAGAGAGACTCTGTCTCAAAAAAAAGAAGCACTGATGTAGACTAAATTCTTTGAGGGCAGGGCCTTCATCTTCTTCCTGAGTCCATTTAGGAACATAAGAAATGAGTCAGTGTTTATTGAATAAATAAACTAGACCTTATGAGGAAATCTCAGATTGTCCCAATTCTAAAAATATCAGATTATGGACTAGAATGTATGGCACTATCGGCATTGTTTCAGTATCAAAATTAACAAATTAATCAGAATAGCTTCTATTTAATCTCCTGTCTATACAATCTGCAATAAAGCAGGCTAATTTATAGGGAATTAATAGGTCACTTCCAGCTATGAAGATGATGTCTCCCAGAGTTTAGAGATGTTTTTGTTTTATTCATTTACTTCTTTTGTATGGTGCTTGGGATCAAATCCAGGGCCTCTTACATGCTAGGTAAGGACTCTACCACTGAGCTGTATCTCCAGCCCTGCTTTTATTTTTTATTATTTTTTCCTGGTTTTCCTTTTAAATGCATATAATTTTATTAGTGTAGCTATTGAGTTGCTAGTGCTCATGAAACATTTTATACAGTAGCCTACATTGGAGAGGAATTCATCCTGTCTAATTTTGATACCCCTTATATTTGAAATAATAGCAACATGGCAAAATATTTAGAAATCTGGAGAACTTAAGTCAATAGATACTTCAAACTCTTTTTTTTTTTTAATCAATTGGTTCATTACCTTTATTTTTTATTTATTTATTTATTTATTTATTTATTTATTTATTTTTGGCACTAGGGATCGAACTCGGGTCCTTGCGCTTGCACAGCAGGCGGTGAAAGCACTGAGCTAAAAATCCCCAGCCCATTACTTCAAACTCTTTATAGTGAATTATAAGATTTCAATAATTGCAGCTAGCATCATCCTCCTCATTGTGCAGCGACTATTCTCCTTGATGTCCAAATAGCACAGCCAGCGTCTTTCAATCTCTTTAGGACCTCCGACCAGCCTCTTTCAGCCACCCCGTCGCCCTGGCCTTGGAACTGTTGGAAAACCAATTCGACTGTTAGCCAATCATTTTCAGGTTCAGATTCCTAAAATAGATGTATATCACTATGATGTGGACATTAAACCAGAAAAACGGCCTCGGAGAGTCAACAGGTAAGGGTTAGGAAAAAAAAAAAAATATATATATATATATATATATAAAATTTATCACATATCATATTATTGTTTTCTAAATGCTTTCAACATCTAGGCTTTGTTTTTAATCTATGATGGTAAGTTTCTTATGTGGTTATCCTAGCAGAGTACTAGATGGATCATTGGCCAATCAGTAAGTATGTACTGAATAAAAAAGTGAGGTTACTTGTTGACCAAGAATGGCAGAAATTTATAAAAATGTATTAAGATACTATTGTCTATGGAAAATAGAACTACCTAGAATTTTTTTTCCCCCAGTATTGGGGATTGAACCTAGGGCCTTTGCATTGTGCTACATCCTTAGTTCTTTTAAAAAAAATTTTTTTTTAAATTTTGGTTTGTCTTATTAAGTTGCAAAGTTGCCCATAGTGGGCTCAAACTTCCCATCCTCCTGCCTCAGCTTCCCAGAGTGCTGGGATTACAGGCATGTACTACCATGCATCCCTATGGAAATTCAAATTTTATTATTAAATGTGGGTATTAGATAAGGGACATATGAAGACAGAAGGATTATCTTGGAGTTTTGAAAAAAAGTAAGTTCAGAGAGAAGCTTTCTTTATTTCCATCACTGTCCAAGAGGGGTCCTGATGAGATAAATTTTGGGATTGGGATAGCAGAAATTTACTGAAAGTGAGTGTATAACTACTTTCCTTTTGTCTGTTTCCATGTAGTAATAGTCAAACAATCCTTTTAAATTTTATTTGTTTAAAATTTCCTACAGCTGAGCTCCATCCCCAGTCCTTTTTATTTTTTATTTTGAGACAGGGTCTCGCTGAGTTGCCCAGGTTGACCTCAAACTTGTGACACTTCTGCCTCAGCCTCCCATGTAGCCAAGATTACAGGTGTATATACCACCATGCCTGGCCAGGTATTGATATTAAGATTCTTCCTTTTCTAGGGGCCAGGGATTTAGCTCAGTGGTTCCGAGTTCGATCCCCAGTACAAAAA